CTCATTAAATAAAATGGATTACATTTCTCAGAAATGTTTCATGTAGACTGTTAAGCACAGCCCACTATGCCATGATATTAAACCCATGTTAAGCACCATGTTCCCTGGTGATGGGTCATCATCATTACATTGTTAAGGAAACAGAATGAAAGCATGATAACAATGAATAGTGGACAACACATATGACACATTTAACACAGCATATATACTACATTTGCACATTTCCAAATGACAAAATATCTACCTGGGCTTAACCTGTCCTTAACTAGCCAAAAGCAGCAGGATGTTCTCCAAAAGATAAGATCAGACTCAGATACTCAGATTGCATCCTAAATTCCTTCTTAAAAAGAAAACATAACACGAAATTAGTAATTTCTAATCTTTTAGGTCTGTTTGCAAGCCAATAAAGGGCAATAATATGATGATACAGAGGAAGTTGTTCGCGAGTAGTACATTCCAGATGAAACTATAAAATATGAGAGATTTAGTAAGAACATGCAAAAATCCAGAAACAAGAGGAATAAAAAGATACATTTCTTGAAAATTTAATTTTGTGCAGACACTAAAAAAATGGAAATTTTCTAAATATTGTATGGACCCAAATTACAAAATCTAGAGTTCAGATGATACCACTTTTTTCTAGTCACTTTTCTAATATGGATACTAACTACTAAGAAACACTACTAAGCATTAAAAAGAGCTATTTTAAATGAAAACACTTCACTAAATCCTTGTATTATGTTGAAAAAAATTACATCCATAAACGTTACCCTCTCTGGGCAATCAGAACCAGTCATAACTGGTATAATGTATATGAAAAGATGATGTGAGTCAAATGACCCACATCATCTTTGTATACAAATATTGTGCAGGCCTTCCACAACACCTCTGTGACCACTTTGCATGGTCGCAAGCTCATGTCTGTAAATAAGGTAAAGATTTGAATGGAAAAAAACGAGAAAGTAACCAGTATTTTTGCCGACTCAAAAGTAGAAGCAGGTCCAATTCAACCATAACATAACAGAAGGTTTAAGATGTGCATCTACACATTTGCTATCATGCTATCAACCACTCAGAAACACTCTACCTCATATGAAAAAATATACAGCTAACAACATGACATCCCACAATGTAAATAAAGGAGTTTGATGTAGTGTGTAAACATTGTTATAGTTTTAAAACATATTAATCACTCCGCAGTCCATACATTGAAACTATGCTGTAAGAACAACCCAATCTGAATTCACATTTGCAAGCATTTCTTGTTCAGAAAAACACTACAATATTATTTGTTGTTATTCAGTATATGGTTTGGTTAAACAATACTTCATTATGTGCGCTGGTAATGGAATTGGCAAGGGGCATCCAAGAGACATCTGGAGCCAAACTTTGTTTGTCAAGCTGGCTTACAAGTTATAAACTACTTCTTTTCTATATTGTTTATTTGCATTTATTCTTGTGATATACAATGTTTTTACAAGCACAAACAGACTGAAGATAAATAGTTTTAAATATTGGGCTTTAGTGCCTAAGGCTTTACACAGGACTGTATTTCTACCTGTTCAGCCTAATCATGTTGACATTATAAGGAGTATTCCGGCCTAGACATCTTTTTGAATAAGCCACAGGTCAGCCAATCAGAATAGAGATTGTTTAATGGCCTGTTTAATTCTCAAAGCACTTACTTTAAAATATTTGTGTTGAAAAAGTTGACATGACAATCACATTTTCAGTACGTAATATGTTCTAATAAAATATGTCTTCTAATTTTAAAAAGTATTTTAATAAACTGAAGGTGTCTGACAGGGATAAATGTACAGATGACAGGACAGTTGTATACTATCAACTCAAATACCATAGAATTAATGTGGTATGTGCATGACCCTGTATGCCAAGAGTTTATTGCTATGGGACCTTGGCCTGAGCAGTTGCCATGCATGCACATTGGTACTCAGTAATGGCCACGTGTAGAGCAATGCTTAAAAATAAAATGCCAACAATTGTTCTCTGGAACCTTTATTCAACCTTTCAATGAGCTTTAAAAACATTTCTAAAAATCTTCTTTAAAAAAAAAAAAGAAACCACTCAATTGAAAGGTTATTTAGGGAAGCAGTGGTGGTTCTTCTATGACAATGCTCCAAAGAACCCTTTTAACTGGATACAAAGACATAAATCATTAAAGGGAACTTATCTCCTGCTGTTCCCAAGTGACAGTTGGCCAGTCAATCACCCGGATAGGAAGATATGAGTTTGATAGGAGTTGTTTTGTTGTAGAATGTAAACAGGATGACATAGCATCTTGAATTAAAGACATTAAACTGTTGCAGGAGCAATCAGTGACACAATATTTACCTTCAGGTAATCCCATTGGTGGCATTTGTTTTTCCTGGGGAACAACAGGTGAAATTTGGCTCATGTCAAACTCTTGTAGACGGGTTGGTCCAAAGACACCTGCTGATGTCCCAGGAGCCATGAAAGTGGCCCACCTCCGAAAATTTGCTTTGGGCTGTTTTATGTTTTATGACTGATGAATAATGTTGAGAAAAATGTAAAGAATACAGTAAGTGTGGCAGGGCCTCCAAATGGCTGTGGATCAGGAGGGGCGAACTGTGGACTGTGAGTACTACTTGGACACAAGCCATTGGGTTAGGCCATTAGGTCTCTGCATACCATGCCTTTAGAGTCCCTTTTGCAAAGGGGAGCAAGTTGCAGCTGCCACAATATAATACGAAAGTTTCCAGTACTTAGTGTGTCCACGCTTTGCATTTAAAAAAGCTTCTAATCTTTTCAGGAGACTTGCTTCCAGTTTTTCAAAGAAATCTGCAGGGATACTTTTCCACACCTCTTATTTTCGGTCTAAAAATTGAGATGCATTTTTTGCTTCTCATGATCCAAGTAATCCCAAACACATTCAATGATGTTAGAGTCTGGGTTCTGGGATGTCTAGTTAATTCTTCTGAGAACGCCTCTAGTTTCTAGATTTTTTTTTGTCTAATTTTTTGTTAGTTGCAATTTCTTGACAGCTACACATATTTTCATACTCATAGTGCTGAGTTGTCTTCTCACAGTGAAAGAAGGTGCAGAAACACCTGTGGATATTTTTTAGATCTGAGAGTGGAGCTTGATTTTGTTCTCTTTCTCAAAGATGAAAACTTTAAGTACTATTGTCTGATGGTGACATTGTTAGTCTACCAGGTCTTACAGTTGTTCCGAATTCTATTTTCTCTATAACTTTTATTTATTCTTTTAACTTTGGTTTTGACTTTCCCCTTCCTCATACAAGTGGATTATCTTATAACTAATCTCATAACAAATATATCCTGAATAATAAATAACGTGTACTGAATGGTTGTTTTGAGTGGAAATTAAATAAATGAAGAGTGGTCTCTGATGTTTACAGAGTACTGTATGTATCAACTGTGTTTTAAACCTATAGTACATATAGGAGTGGAGCATGCAAATAAGGTTAAGTTATTTGAAGCACCATTTTTTATTAGATACAATTATTATTACATATCCTAACTGCTGGATAATATCTAGCTGAGTGGATCAATTTGATTCCAATCTGGCACAAGGGTATCTGTGGCACTGTAATTCCACATTTTATAACAAGACCCTTAAAAACACTAGCGACCCATATCCCAAGGGCTTCTAAAGATCAAAACAAAAAAGAAACTGTTAACCCATGCCAATGTTTTAAAGTGCAGTAGTGTTAAAGAGGAAACTCTGTGCCACTACTTCATAGTAAATTGTTAAAAATAATATTAATGTGAGACTAATGCATCCATTTAGTTAATGTTATTGACATGTTTCAATGTAATATTAAGGGTTTTAATCTAGTCAAAACTGCCATAAAACACAAGTTGTTTATTTTTCAGTGTCAGAAAGGAGGAAAGTTACACAAAGGTTTCCAGCACTAGGTATGATATTGAATCTATCAGTATTTATTTTGTCCACTCTTTACTTTTGTGTGCTCTACTGCTACTTTAACTCATTTTATCTTTTAATTTGATCTTTGTCATTTTTATATGATTTTAAAATAGTACTCTTAATCTCTTGTATTGCTGTTAAGCTTTATCACCTGTCTGTAAAGCACTTTGAGCTGCCAGCAGCACAAGAAGTCCTACATTATATATATATATATATATATTTATATATGTTTATATATATACATATATATATATATGTTTATATATATACATATATATATATATATGTTTATATATATACATATATATATATATATAATTATTATTAATCCTTCCCGTCTTAAAAACAAAGAGTTCTAGCTGTGTCCTCCCAACAAAAGCTATTCCTAAAGCCATAATATTCCCCTTCAAACAGACACTAACATTCATAGAACTACCCAAACACACCTTAGCGGCCTCACAAATGTCTTTCTCCTGTGCATCTAAAATGACCAAAGAGATTTTTCAGGGGAGACTGATATAAGAAAATCCATTTGGGTACAGACGGGGAACATCACAAGAAAATAATTGTAAAAAAACCCCAGAATTTTCCAAAAATGGAGCTCAAAAATAATTAAAAGATATAGAGAAAATGGGACTCCTAACTACTGTGTAAGACCTGGCAGAGCACCAATCCTGTCACCATCTGATGAACAGTTCTTATATCTTTTATCTATGAGAGAAAATCAATGAACTTAATGAACATTTTGACTAGAATTAAAATAAAGAAAGGTTGGTCACTAAGGAAGGTTTTTGCACAGTACAATGTATCATTTCAATTTAAATACATCTTTGTCGATATTACAGCACAGTTAATAAGTGTCTAACAGAATCAAAGTACTCTTGAGCAAGCCCTTTGAAGATTAATACTGCTAATATCAAAGGTCTTTGCAGATCATAAAACAGTGTGTTAAATGTAGAGAATTCCAAATGGTCATGCCACCCTGTATCATCTAAATAGGGTAATCAGTGAGCCCTACACATGCGGCAATCCTTTCAAATGTGTTGTATGTGTGTCTGTGTTTGTCAGCGAGAGAGTTGTTATTCAAAAGTCTCTGCTGCAGTCCTCAAGACAGACATACTCGATACAAAATTTACTGGTGGATTTAAATGCAATTGACTTTTTAAACAGCCCTGGCATTCATTTCATCTTCATACTGTCAGTTATTTGGAGTAGGTTAATCTTTTATGACAGATATCTTATCATTCATTGGTCTTTTGTCCCACCATGTTCAAATTAATCATCCTGCATTCTTTATGTGACAAGTTCATTTAGCCGTCAGAGAGATATAAGGAGCAAGAGAAGTGCTTATTTAATGGTCTTCATCTGAGGTACCTGAGGTAAGCTATGGGAATGTATGCTAAACCTTGTGAAAGAAAAATGTATTTAAGTGTACTTTGTAATATGAAAAGTACATATTGTTAATGTTTACACTTTAAACCTACTTTAATACATACTTAATTTATAAATGTATTATTTTGGAGCAACCTATGATAACTTAAGTGGATTACAATAGTAATTAAGGTATGATTAGATATATTAAATACACCAAATTGTGCTTTTGAGTGCTTTTTCTGAAAAACACAAGTTATATTAAGCACTACAGTACAAATATGTAATATGTAGACAAAACTGTTATTACACTTGGAACATGTTATAAATGTACTACTGGATGTACTGATCGCTGGGCACTTCTGTGCTACTTTATAGATGCTGTTATACTGCAACAAACATGCACTTAAAAGCATTCAACAAATAAAACAAACCTACTTTAAGTGTACTTTTATAACTATATATTTTATTTATATATTTATTAATTAAATGAATACTTTTGGATGTTCCGATACCCATATTTGATTGCTGATTTGATTTGTTTCAACTAAAATGCAACAAAATTGTACTAAAGTATACTTCGGTAGTCATTTTAAAGAGACTGCTATAAAATATACTTCTTAAACAATACACTTAAGTTGATCACAATTAAATATGCTTTTGTTTAAATATGCTTCAGTGTGTTAAGAAACACACTTATTCAGGTGTTATCTTACAGCACACTAAATTATAATTTAAAATGTGTTACTCAAAAAACACAGAAAAGCATAATTTAAATATATTTTCTCAAGAGAAGACACTGGATTGGGATTAGGACAGTTTTATGTATTATATTATATTATAACACAAACTTACAAAGAATGGTAAGAAACCATGATATGAATATACAATATTTCAATTGCCAGTAATAGAGACAACTGAAACATAACTGGTGTTTTAATATGCTTAACTTAAATATAATGCAAATTTGTTCATTCTGTTCAGTAGCCTACAATTCCCTGTTTTCTCCCCTGTTAGATCAAACTAGAAACGGATGCTACAATGACCAGGTTCACAATTCTTGCAGGTAAACTGCTTTAAAGTTTGCATGTATGTTATGTATTTAGAATTAATTGTAAAACTATCCAAATGACTAATGAACTGAACTTGCCTCTTTAGGCTTATGCTTGGTGCTGTGCCATTTTGGTGAGTCAAACAAATTCAACGTTGAAAGAGTAGTTATGGGTAATAAACAGAAAGCCTCATAAGGAACTGTGCACTTTTCAGGTTCAGCAGAACAGCTGGGGTGCTACTTCACAAACTGGTCCCAGTACAGGCCTGGCGTGGCAAAGTACATGCCTTCTAATGTGGATCCTTTCTTCTGTACCCACCTGTTTTACGCTTTTGCTTCCATCAACTATGCCAATGAGCTTGTCACCAGTGATTGGAATGATGAGACATTCTATAAATCTTTTATTGACCTGAAGAACAAGTGCGTATTATTTGTCAAATACCTTAGCAACAGTGAAAAATTAAAAAATGGACATAGAGGCTTCATCTTCCAGTATGAAGCACTGAGCTCACAGATAAGTGTCTTCCTCCTGCAGGAATGCAGCTTTGAAGACGCTTTTAGCAGTTGGTGGATGGAACTTTGGCTCCACTCAGTGAGTTTCTACAGATTGTTTTATACTCCAAAATGTTAGACAGAAGATGCTGAATGTGACCTTACATTTTTACTTTAGGTTCTCCATCATGGTGTCCACTCCAGCCAACCGTCAAACATTCATCCAGTCCTCCATCTCATTCCTGAGAACACATGGATTTGATGGTCTGGACCTGGACTGGGAATACCCTGGTGCCAGAGGCAGCCCTCCTGAAGACAAGCAGAGATTTACATTGCTGTGCAAGGTAGGACTTTTACTTCATCTGAAATCTCAATCTCAATTCTTTCACCCTTAGATAATACTTTGACTATGCATTCTACAGGAACTGAAAGAAGCCTTTGCTGCTGAGGCCAAATCTACTGGGCAATCTACGCTCTTACTTAGTGCAGCTGTGCCTGCTGTCAAAGAAATCATTGATGACGGCTTTGAAATCAGTGAGATAGCTAAGTGTGTCAATATTCACATATTATAATACAGCCATACTGATATAATTTCTTATAATGCAGTAACACAATTTAACACACTTATTAAACCTAGCCCTTGAATTTCTGATGAAATAGTTGAATAGTTGAAGTTCACAGATGTTTCAATGCCTCACTTCTTTAAGTCTAATTAAACTCATTCATGTTTCCATTTTATCTGTAGGTATCTGGACTTCATCAATGTGATGACCTATGACTTCCATGGAATTTGGGACAGACTGACAGGACACAACAGTCCTCTGTACAAGGGAGCCCACGAGCAGGGTGATCTTGAGTATTTTAACACGGTAAATAAAAACATAAATGAGCAATAATAGATAATCTGTGCTTTCTAAAAAACAAGAGCGATGAAGAATAAGACCACTACAGATCACTTCTTTCTTGCATTTTCTCTAGGACTACGCCATGAGGTATTGGAGGGACAATGGTACCCCTGTGGAGAAACTGAGGATGGGATTTGCAGCTTATGGCCGTACCTTCCACCTCACCACGTCTGCTAATGGAGTTGGAGCTCCAGCTAGTGGACCTGCCTCTGCTGGACCCTACACAGGTGAAGCTGGATTCTGGTCCTATTATGAGGTAATAACTTCACAGGAAAATTCACAAAAAAGTGTAGGGGAGAGTAGGGCACAACCTAACATATTTTGGTTTTGATATAAACCAAGTCAATATGTGAAATGCTAATAAAACATAAAGCAGTGAAAAGTAAATTCTGTTTGACCTATATTGAATTAAAAAAACGTACAAAAACACAATGTTTTATGCTTTGCCTAATGAACTCAGGTCATGGGCATTCATAGTTGTGGTTTTCAGCCTTGCCCTTTATGCACAGACATTTCTTGGGGTTCCCTGAATCTTTTGAAAATACTATGCCCTCCCAAACCAGACTGTAGCTGTGAATCCTGCACTCAGTACAGTTCTCAGTACAGTTATTAACACTTATGATGAAAAAAAGTACATTTACAATACAAAACGGTCTTTAGGGTGAATCTCAAGAAATATCTCTCTGACTGCTCTCAAAATTTGCTGATCACATTGCAATGGGAATATGAGAAAATGACTCAAAGCATGTTCACTGGAACCTGTTTATGTACATTAAAAGGCTATGTTACATTTTACCCCCTGTTAGTTTGTGTCTGCTCTACGATATTAGTACAGATTCCAGGGCACTGTGATATCTTAGCTTTCTAAATTAAATTCAAAGTTAAATGTTTCTCATTCATTACTGTTTTCTCAGATTTGTGGCTTCCTTGAAGGAACCAAGATCCAGTGGATTGAGGATCAGAGAGTACCCTATGCAACCAAGGGGGATGAATGGGTTGGCTTTGACACCAAAGAGAGCTTTGAAATCAAGGTGACTATTGAGGAAAAAATCTATTTACAAGATCTTTTAAAAAAAAATCTAGAGGCCTGTAACTTTATTTCACTCCACGCCCTCCCACAGGTCCAATATCTAAAAGCCCAGAAGTTTGGAGGGGCTTTTGTTTGGGCTCTGGATCTAGATGACTTTGCTGGCCAGTTCTGTGGGCAAGGGAGCTATCCTCTGATAGGCCACCTACACAACCTTCTAAATATTTGTAAGAACCAACTGCTGACTAATTAAATTAAAAGATAATTATAGAGATAGAAATATAATTTAACATCCTGATTTTGCCCTCTAGAACTGCCTCTATTGCCTTCCATCACCACCTAAACCTGCCATCCCAGCAACACCACAACTAACCACAACAACCATACATGAGCCTGGAACTGAATTCGCAGGGATGCCTGAAGACCTTTACAGTCACCCTGAAGATCCAAGTAAATTCTATGAGTGTGATAAGGGTAAAACATCTAAGAAGAAGTGTGGAGTTGGAACAGTTTTTAATGATGCATGCAACTGCTGTACCTGCAGCTTTCAATAGTAAACATTAAATGAATGCTCAACCAGATCAGTGCCAACTCACAACATGAAGACTTTTTTGATCCTTCTGCTATTTCCTTTAGCAAACAGTGCACAATACTTGTGGTCTTAAGTATTCAGAAAATAATATAGCCAAACTTTTCATGTAAACTAAAACATCAGATCATATTTCATATTTAATATGTGCAAGTCATAATGACCTGATGGGATAAAATATTAGTTTTAGAAATAATGTGCTTGTATGATCCATGTATGTAATTAATCTGATCTGCTTTTTAAACAATAAAAAACAAATGCATGAAAACAATATAAAAAGTTGTTTTCAATTGTGGAAGAGCAAGTGTGCTCATAATTTTCATCACAGTCCACTAGCATTCAAAAGTTTGGGATCACTTGCTGTATTTTTTACTTTATGTACCAAAAGGTATTTTTAATGTTCGGCTGTTCCTAATGGGCCTGCTTATGTCAGGCCCATTAGGAACAGCCGAACACACTCAAACTAATGGGCTATGATAAAGTGTAACAACAACAGAGAGGAGTATTAGCCTTAATTTCTTTCTGTCTTCAACTTAAATCTCTTCTGCTTTTCAGTTTTTTGGGATAATTTCTCCTCTTTTTTAAACTTTGGGTCTCATTAGGTTAACTCATACACATCTTTTACACATATTCCATTCTTTATACACTTTTTTGTAGCACACACAGATTGACACAAGGATGTGGGAAGTCGGGGGCTGAGGGTTCCAAACATTTTAAGCAAAGCAAACAACCATTGATTTCATTTTATTTATATACATCAACTGGCCACTGCATTCACTGCATATGTTGTTAGACCCACTTTCATCCTGACCTTCAATGGTCAGGACCACCACAGAGCAGGTATTATATGGGTGGTTGATCATTCTCAGCATTGCAGTGACATTGACGTAGCGGTGGCATGTTAGTGTGTGGAATTTATTATTACATTATTACATATTACATTATTATTATTAATACATTATTATTAATTTTGGAAAAATGGAACGGAATTGCTGTATCTGGGGGTCTCCATGTAAACTTAAAGGGAAGGTCCATGAAATGACCGGAATATTCCATCCTAAAAAATGATAGTATAGCCAAACACAACACCATGGGTGAGCTTCCCAGTCGATGTTGTTAATACTGCATCATTATGTACTGTCACTACATCCATGGCACATATAATTGTTGTCAGTGTCCCAGTGTTCTCCTACTAGGGACCTAGCCAATGCCCAAGTTCTTATTCGCTCTGTACTGATTCACTACATACGGAACTAGTTAGCAAATTGAGACAGAGCCACAGCGTTTAGCATGATGTCACAGTATAAGTTATTTGCTGCAATAAAAATCAGCACTCCCTCACATCCCTGGACTGACAGCTATGCCAAACCTAGTTTCTCTTTGCTGAGTAAATCGGCATCAGGTGTGCTCACTTTTACTAGTCCAACACACTGAGCTCACATGGATTTCTCTCAGTTTAGCCAAGATTCTCAGGTGGAGTCTAGAACTACTGGACAAGCTATACTTTCTATAAGGGCCTGCTAAAAAGTATGTGATGCTGGAAGAAGTATATGATGCTGTGTTGGGAATTTAATCTCTACTAATGAAAGAAAAGTGAAAGTCAAATCTTATTGACTTGTCTTTAGAAGACACATTTTCTGTTTGTGTCCTTGATCCTGCAGATTACACCTGTACATTACTAGAAGAATATAAAGAATATTTTCTAACCTTTGTTACTACCAAATCCTGGTTATTTCAGTACACTGTAACTCAGTATCATTTATCTCTGTATAAGTCCCTTTCACTTTCATACTGCGAATAAAGCCAGTCAGAACAGAGCTCATTTACAAATAACATACACATATGTTGCATAGCTTAAAAGCATAGTAACAAAATCAGCCTGTTTATTTCTAAGAGATAAAGAGAGGCTGTAAAATGGTCATGTAAAAATGAATCATGACTGTTTTGGTAAATTAAATCACAGAAACCACAGGGAATGTGGGCGACAAGGAAAGAAAAATGTAGGGTATGGGCCCTTTAATATCCATACAATTGCTCTTATCTCTGACAAGATGTTCTGGAAATGGTGTTTAGGATGTTTATATTATTACCTAGAATGTTTTATTGTGCTTACTGTTGCAATTAGGACAGATGTACACAAGTTGCACAAGTGCAAGTTAAAAAAGACTGTTGTCTTGTGTTAAGGATACAAGCATTTTTTTTTTACTTTTTGCATTTTGTATCTCTTTGCTACATACATGTTGGTAAGCTCTGGATAAGAACATCAGCTAAATCAATGAATATAAATGATAAATACACTACTATTAACTACTAGATATCATTGAGAATCAATGCTGATGTTGGGTGATGTCTCACAGCTGCTGCAGCAATGTAGTTTAAATATCATAGCAACACTGAAAAACTAAAAGACACAAAAATCTGTTACATTTTAACATTTAAAGGGGAGTTTAGTTTCTCTAAAAGCTACCACATAGAAGGCTATTACAATTAACAGGTTTTAAATATGTTGCCTGATCTCTGAGACGCTGTTTTACCTAAAAAATAGCCTACATTACATATCCTTTCAGAGCATCTGATTAGCTTTAAAAGTATGCAGAAGACAGCCTTACCTTCACTAAGGTATTTCTTTTAGAAACTCACGAAACATGTTATCATAATATTTTAGAATTTATTCTGTGACTGTACTTTTAATGGCTGACATTACATCAACTCATTGAAGTCTTGGTAGACTGTATGCGAAACAATCTAGCATACTGGCCAACTGCTCATAAATCTATGCTGGCTGAGAGCTCCCTAATGGCCTAAGCTTCTGGGTACACGTCCAGTAGGCCCAGATAGTAATCTGCCTCTGACCTTACGGCATGATGAACTGCAAAGCACTGACAGCCAGACAGTAGTTAAAATATAGATGACGTGACTTTCAGTAGGATGTTCTCAATAGTACAAGGACAAGATAAGATAATCTCTTATCAGACTGTTGTGCCTGAACATTGACCCAAGTTGGCCAGTTGTCAGTAAACATCCATCACCAACTGTAAGTGGTTATAAGATTGGTTACAAGATTTAAATATCTCTCTCTCAATCCATTGGTATGGTATATGTTCAGAAAACTATTTTTGTTGTATTTGTCAGTATATACTAATCCTTCAACCTCATGTGAAACCTGAAACCACCATAAGTCACACCCCAAAGATGCTTGACTCTATTTAAAGCATAGTTTTTTTCACTTAAAGGAAATTTCCAAAATCAGCATAAATCAACTGCTGAAATGTGATCAAAGTCGTTCAGAGTGGTCTGATGTGGTGCATCTTCATGATTTTATCATTCAAAAATTGTGAAACATTCCCCTTTAATTGTAACAGAGACCCAACCATGATGCATGACTTATTCTAAAACACAATGCATAACATGTTTTCATGCAGTTAATGTTTATATGAGTAAATGGGGTGTTTCACAGGAAAAATAAGGCTCGGCTTAAGTGTTGCTTATTCTTATGATGTTTGCAAAAGCCTGCCAACACTTCAGTTATCTTGCTTCAAGGCTTAACTGGTGTTATGTTTAGGATATCATCACTTTCCTTTGCCTGGGGCTTGGAAACATGGAAAACAAAGTACTGAACAGAAAAATCTGTCATTTGAGACTAAACAAGCTGTGCAGAGGGGATTAGAATAACAGCACAAGTAAGGCTGTGTATTTTGAATGGAGGTAGCACAAACTCCACATAAACAACACAGAATGCAGAACCTGCACTGAAATGTACATAGCACCATTCAAAAGTTGGAGTATAACTGCATAAAACCACTTTGATTATCTATGCTTTGGACTACATTTACTTTTCTATTATATCTTAATACTTAATTATTTGATCTTTATAAGCCGATCAGGCTAATTGCTCTCCAAATCTTGTGAAATGATACCAAAGCAAGAAACTTTAAGTTTAAAGCAAACATCAGTCAAATATGTCAGCAAAGCCATCACAGAAAAGCAACTGAATGGGCTACCTAACAGCATTGCTTTCTTTTGGTTGGCAATTACCATCTCTCCAGTGCTTGTAGCTCCATTAGTAATAATGAATTTCAAGAAGACAGTTTGATTGGAGAATGATACAGTACCTGACTTCCTATTAAAATCACAGCCATATAACCACACCTGATGTCTGCAACACCATTCACAGCTATTTAATGACTATAATGATAAAAATCAATGATAAGTGAACTACAGTTGGGTGCAACTATTACTTTATAGCAAGTGATAAATTATAATTAGCAGTAGCAATAGACAATATTTCCATCACTTTGTTAGAGGTCTCATCATTCCATAAAACTCTGCTCCAAAACTTTTTTGGTTCATCTCTATAGTACTGTGTAAAGTTGTTCAAAACTTCTCTTATTAGATAAGCAGAAATATAGTAAAGCATAAGTAAACTATTTACTTCGTGTTTACTTTTACTTTTTTTGTTCCAAAAAGTAAAAAAAAAGTTTGTTACTTAAAAGAATACATTTAGAAGAGCACAGTTTAGTTTCTGACTTCTTAATGCACTCCAGCAATTGCATTGGTTTGTTTAATTTCATCAGCAACACACCTAAACCAATTTAATTATGGGTTTGAACCTAAGGTTTTGCCTGTGAAGACAGCTTTTGTTGTTAAAAAGGACAAATCAACATGAAGACCAGAGCAGCATAATAATAGTTAACTAAAACTTTTATGAAAACAAAAACTAGCAGTGAAAAAATGTAAACTGTAATAAAAATAAAAATAACAGTGCTGATAAACATAAAAAAAACTAGATCAAGACTATACAGGATACAAAACCTGCACATCATATATCTTTATGTATTACGTGACACACACAGACTCAAAAAGAATTTCCGGCTTGATGTTTAGGTCTCACAAGCAAAATCAACATTATATTGATGAAGATATGATGACAATAGTAGATAATTCTGAAGTATTATCAACAGTTCTCTTTGAATACTCTTTCAACTCACTTGCCGTCATCAGATTTATCTGCTCATGGGGGTCCGAAGCACAACTGACGGTACAAAATGCTCCTCTGCACGTTGCATGCAATTACAGATTTCCACCAGAGAGGTATCCAAATCCCTATATGTTACATAGTGCTGATCTAAGGATCACAGTGGAGATTTGCAGAAGACGGTTACATTTTGGGGTCAAAAATGCCTTAAAAATAACAGTTAGATGCCATCCTCAAGCCAAAAAAGTATATGTAAGGTGTGGTAGAAGAAACCCTTTTCTTTTTTCTTCATGCTACT